AGAACAATTGGACTCTCATGTTCTCCTTTAGCTGTTTATGATAATATGTTACCAGCAAATGCAAGTGAGAAATTTGTAGCAAATAGCTATAAGGAAGGGGGGACGATGAAGGTAAGGAGGGAGAAATACAAGGTAACTACCATTTAGTTACTTATGAAACTAGACTGTTTGGTGTTTACAAAAAATGTGGACATTTGGGTTAGTAGTGAAAACCCTGCCTCAGCTTTCACATTCAATTACAATTTATAAAAATGTAGGTCCTTGTGTATGAGTTTTTTCTATTTCTTTCCCCCAGAAGTCAGGGTATATATAATGTTATATGGTAGTCAGATTTTAAGAGGATATCTAAGTTACTTGGTATTCCCTGAAATGAGCTCTAGATGGGCCGTGTGTTAAATATATACTGCTCAAGTACCTCATTTCATTTTTTTTCTCAAGGCTGTCCTCAACACCTTTTGTGATGAGACAGCTGCAGTTGTATCTGATGCTTCTGGTGTGGCCTTTCTGGTAAGAGCTGGAAGGTTGAAATTGGATCTCACATTTCTCTGGATCTTGAAATGAATGGGCAGTGACACCTTTATTTTATCTCACAATTGTCTGTATAAGAATATAATTAAATGTTGACCATCTAGACTAACCAAGAAAAGCAAGCTAGGGAAAAGATGGATAGTAACAACAAACAAATATTTGTTAGGAAATTTATCATATAAAACTACAGTGAACCTCTCAGCTTTGTGTGCCAATGTCTTTAACTACTTCCACAACCAACTTTGTTGTCAAACTGTTCAGAATGAGAGTCAAATGGCTTGGTTAGAGGGTTGGCTGCTCTCCTTTTTTCTCTTTCTTTTTCTTTTCTTTTCTTCTTAATAGTTGTTAACCAGTAATTAGACACCTTCAACCCTAGAGGTAGAAGGGAAGGAAAAAGATAGCAAGTCCTTTGACTAAGCTTGGATAAAATGAGTATCTGGAATATCTAACTGGAATATTCTGGAATGTTAAAGATAAAATTCTATGGGAAGTATATGTTAGTGAAGAAAAATTCAGATAATTGAAAATAGTTAATTATTTCATTTAGATTTACTGTCAGTTACCTTTAATTCTAACAGCATCTGTCCTGGAGTTAGATCACTTGAGTTCAAATTTTGCCTTTTGTATTTACGAGGTGTGACTTTAGGCAAATTTTAATTTTTTAGAAAAAGTTTATTTATTTATTTTGAGAGAGACAGACACAGCGTGAGTGAGGGAGGGGCAGAAAGAGACAGAGAGAGAGAGAGAGAAAGAGAGAGAATCACAAGGAGGCCCTGCACTGTTAGCACAGAGCCCAATGTGGGGCTCAAACTCAGGAACCATGATATCATGACCTGAGCCTAAACCAGGAGTCAGATGCTTAACTGACTGAGCCACCCAGGCACCCCTAGGCAAATTTTAATTAAAAAAAAATTTTTTTGTTGTTGATTTTGTTTCCTTATCTGTAAAACAGGATCAGTGACATTATCTAAATGCTAGAACTGTTCTGAGAACTAAATGAAGTAATACATGTAGCAATGCTCTCAGTACAGTGACTAATACTTTCAAGCATATAGTAAATACTATTCATGTATCTTTTCAGCCATCTCTCTAACATCATCCATCCATCCATCCGTCCGTCCATCTATCCATCTTCCTAATGTTTCTATCAACATAGATTGATGATTTGGTGTGGGGGGGGGGGGTTGGCATAGAATATGTAGTACTTTTAAGGTATGAAATGAATTTTTTTGGCCAAGGATGGGGAACAGGCGATAGTCCTGTAAAATCAAGTTAGGTACAGAAACCTAGAGGCTTTGCTTTAAATCCTCTGGTTAAGTATAATCCTCTAAATTTATTTCTGCCAATTCATTTAATAATACTTAAGTAATTGGGAAAATAATATTTATTGAGTGTTTTCTTTATGTGAAATATTATACTAGGTACTTGTGGGAATGCAGAGAAGCTAGGATTTTGTCCTTGCCCTTGAAAAATTTGTAATCTGGTTGGGGTTAGTCTTAAGAAATACAATGATATTACACTCTTTAAAAACATTATGTAAGATAGTATGCATTAAGTGTTGAATGAGTGACATAAAAAATGAATTTTCAGAGCACTTATTAGAAGTGATTAGAAGTGTGGATCTTAGTTCCTGGGAATAGTCTCCTGTGGTTTCCTAGTAATAAGAAAGGTGGGTGAGGGAAGTAGGGGGAGGCAGGCAGAGCAAAGATAAGGAGGCAGCAATAAGTGAAGTCTAAGTGTATCAGTATAGTCAGAATAGAAGGTTACAGTGTAGAATAGTAGAAGATAAATTTAGAAAAATTGGTTGGATCTGGATGGAGGGCCTTGAATGCCAGAGTCAAGAGGTTAGACTTTTTTTTTTCTGTCATCAGGGGAAAGCCACTGATGTTTCTTGATCAAAAGAGTGGCTCGATAAAGGGAGTGGCAGTAAGATTGATTTAGAGAGGCAGGGGGATGAAATTAGGGAAACCAGGGTAGAGCCTGCTGCAAGAGTCTAGGTATGAGGCGTAATAAAGCCCAATACTCAGGTGATTATGAGCATGGTAAGAAGGTGTGAGCAGAAGAAACTTTATTAAGGAATACTTGGTGG